TTTTCCTTTAGATTGACAGGTAATGTCATTCAAACATAAAATAGATATATCATTAAAAAATGGAACAAGGGTATCAAATAAATAAATGTCGTGCTTAAGAAAAGTTATTACATTTATATGCACGTGTCTAAGTAATGAGGTATTTTACATTTTAGATATAAATGATGTTCTTGTTATAAGCAATCTACCATTATCAGAGCCTTTCTTGGTCGAAGAGAATACAGCTATCGGTACAAAACTGTATCATGTTCTTGTTCAGGACTTGAATGTCAATGACACCATTCAAATTTATGCTACATCTGAACCGTCAATAGGCTCAATATACTTTAATTTGACAACAGGTAAATTAATTTTAAGATTGAACTTTTTTGGTAAAGAATTTTTAATTCTATATCAAACTTGAAGTCGATTATACTTTCAGGATATCAACTCATTTCTTACCTTGATTTTCAAATCGGTTTCAGAAGATACAATTCACTTAAAATATAGAAAATTGTGATCTCTCTAAAGCAGACAAATGCACATCTAGTGAAGAGGTATGACGCCTCCCATCATCACGTGATGAAAACATCTTTAGAAGTATCCCTTTTATATGCTAAAAAAGTTAATCGGAAGATACCAAGATCTTGTCGATAAATATTCCGTATCAACTTCACAAATAATACATGATGGTCTTGCAGTGTAGATTCTAGGTACTGATGTTGTTTATCATCTTAATTACGTGTTATAGTGTTCTTTTATTTGTCTTTTGTAAATTTATCAACTTTTACTGTTTAGTCTATTTTTGGTACTATCCATTTGACGTGGCTCGGTACTTATACATCCCGTCATTGTGTTAAAATGGCTTACTCCACCATCTTCTACACAACAACATGCATGTACCAAGTCAGGAATATGACAGTTGTTTCCATTCGTTTGATGTGTTTGAGCTGTTGATATTGGCATTTGATAAGTGACTTTCCGTTTTGAATATTTCTTGGAGTTCAATATTTTTGTTATTTTACTTTTGACTCACGAGATGTAATTTACAAATAACGCACACTGTAGATTGTTTAATAGGATTTCTACCACATATATGTGTTACACTGAAATGCTCCGGAAATGACATTAGGTTTTTCATGTTAAAATCTTGTCGTCAATGCCGATGGCCCAAGCTGAAAGATTTTAAAATTGATATATCATTGATTGGGGATACGTTCTGAAATAGTATTTGTTCCAGAGCTCCGTTCTCAAGTACCTTGTTTGAACGAACTGAAAGTTTGTCTCAAATATTTTTCTTTGTGAAAGACTATTGAATACGTGTCATTATTATATATATGATGACGTCCTGAAATGTTTTTTATAACTGAATTTAAACCATCAACTCATCTCTTACCTTGATTTTCAAATCGGTTTCAGAAGATACTATTCACTTACAATATAGAATGTCTATGATCTCTCTAAAGCAGACAATTGCACATATATTCAAGAGGTACGACGCATCCCATCGTCACATGATGAAATAGTTTTTAGAAGTATCCTGTATATGCTTTTAACATTACGAGCACTAGTTTAAATATCATATAGTGCTGCACTCTGTTAAATGTTTAACAGAAATTATATCACAGACATAGGTTACATTGAAATACCACGGACAAAACATGAGGGTTTTACGTTCTTATCTTGTCGTCAATGCCCATGGCCCAAGCTGAAAGATTTTGAAATAAAAATATCATTGATTGGGGAAGAGTACCGAAATCATATTTGTTTCACAGCTTCGTTCTTAAATACCTTGTTTGAACGAGCTGAAATTTTGTTTCAAATAATCTTTGTCATAGACTTTTGATTGTTTGTCATATTATATATATGATGAGGTCATGAAATGTTTTTTTTAACAATTGAATTTAAACCATGCTAGTAGAAATGAATGTTGGTGGGACAATAGACGTTTATCGAGTAAATGCATCATTTCTAAATGATTTAGATGGATTAAAGATAAAAGATTAATGAACGCAGATGTGTGGTACTTTTAAAGGAACACGCGACAGCACAAAGCACACAAGTCACATGTTTTTTTTTTCTTTTAAGTTATTATTTGACTTCAATATCATTTTGCGGGTCAAAATGAAAGGTGGACATAAATAAACCCGACTTCTATTTAAGTTGCTTTAAAGCGCGCTTTGCCACTTATTCATTAAACGTTTGCAAAGAAAGGTAGCCATGTTTTTAAAATGTTTTTATTTGACCATTATTTTTATCTTACTTCAGACGGTTATTTAACTGTATCGTCTACGTTGGATTACGAATCTTTAACCAATACATCTTACATACTGAACGTTACCGCTACAGACGGAAAAGATACAGCGACAGCTACAATATCTCTGACAATAACAGATCAAAACGAGGCTCCAGTATTCAAACAGACACAGTATTCAGTTGAAGTTAATGAATCCGCTGTAAGCAAACATTTAAAATTGAATGACAAGATAGTTGTGTATCGTTTACTTATAAAAACAAATAAATCCGACATACTGACTGTACAGTCTTTATAAGCATGTTTTTCTAATGAATAAGCATATGTTCGTGGGACAATACAACCTTCCTACAGAAATGCAATATTTATCACGATTAATCAAACAAAACACCAAGGATGAACTCATTTTCTCCGGAAATGTAAACAATTGCTGCTCGACTAAAAAGGAACATGCAGGATTGCTCATTTCAAGTAAAATGCCTAATGATAATTCACATTAAAGGATGATTCATAAACGGGAAAAGAAGAACGGGACTGTGGTATGAGTTACGTAACATATTATTGATCCTTTGATATAGAGCGTTCCTGGTTGGAGTTAAATCCAGCAAAGCGCTTGAGAAGCACAAACTTATTATACAATAGACAATACTTAATGTTAAACCTCAGGCACATAGATGTACAAGAGGACATAATATATACACATAAACAAACTTGTGTTATCATCTATACACAAAACATTAAACCGAATGAAAGGTTAAATACAGCGAAATGTAACTTTACATATTATCATAATATTAAGTCAAAAAGAAAAAAAAAGAAAAAAGAAATAAATAAATATCAAACAAATTATAAATATCGAATAAGTATTTTTTTTATATTGGTAAGTTTTTGTTATATGAAGATGTGATATGATGGCCAATGATTGCCTACTCCATTTCCATAGAGATGACAAATGTGTTCCTTTTTGATATCCCAGACCATCTTACTGTTTTATGAGGAATTTTTAATGTTAAATTTGAGCATCGAGATCCGAGTTATGCAATATTTATCCTGTCACACGGATGCAATTTTCTTGAATAAGTTTCCAAACCAATGTCATGTGTGTAATCTGAACAAAATACCTCTTGAAGTGTTATTTATTTATGTAATACATTTTCCTTTTCTAGTACTTGGTCGCTACTGGTGAACTGTTAGTTGTATCATTGAGGGTATCGTTAGCACAGTAGTCAGTGTTTAGGCACTGACATAATTTATAGCATACCTTTCTTAACTTCTCAGTTGATGAGTTCAGAAAGTATCAAAATTGATCAAGGATAGATGGGTTTTGCTATTCTTGTGATGTTTGTTTTGGTCATACATCTCTTCCTTTCAGTTCGGGTTTGAGCGTTCCTGATGGAGGTTTATTTAGTGCGTCGAACGCATTAAATTTATTAACCGTTATTTCCGTTCAATAATACATATTTAAATCCAAAATATTTTATTCCACAAACTGTATATGAAAATTGTAATAACAGTATTCGCTTCCTTTCATGCAATCATTTAATTATTGTTTACAGCAAAGCACTGCATTTCCATTGGTTGGTTTTGTCATTGATGACCCTGACGTATCGGAGTCATTTACATATTCGCTAGATTGTGGTAACGACACCTGGAGGTTTTCTATGTCAAATGATACAGGGGAGATAATGTATACATACGATTATGATCTTGACACTTTACTAATTTCTCAGTACAACTGTACAGTTAAAGTAATTGACAGTGGATTTAATATCGGTACAACAAAACTTATTATAAACATTAATCACATTAACGACAATATACCATACTTCAATCAAACCCAGTATACGTTTTACATAACGCCGTATGGGGCAGTTGGAACAAATATAGGCGGAGTGGCCGCATATGATATTGATGTGGAATATGGAAGTATAGAATATAGTTTAAATATGACAATGTTCTCAAAGTTATTTATACAGATAAACAATGAAGGAACTCTTTATATCAATAAACTTTTAAGTAGCGACTTTAATTATGGAGATGTTATGACATTTACGGTAACGGCAGAGGATAATGGTGGGTTACTGACAACAGTTACGGTGTGGATTGTCTTTTCTGAGGTATATTGTTTTCTACGCTATTGAAAACAAATAATTTAATGTATGGTATCCAAATATGATTGCGGGTGATAATATGTCGATTGACTAAACGCTTTATTAAACTAACGTTATCTAAACATATTTAAATATAGAAATAAGAAGATTTGGTATGATTGCCAATGAGACAACTCTCCATCAGAGACCAGATTACGTAGAAGTTAACAGCTTTATATAGGTCACCGTACGGCCTTCAACAATGAGCAAAACACATATTGCAAAGTAAGCTATAAAAGACTCCAAAATGACAGTTTATTTAAATTGCTTTAATGAGATAGAAAAAAACAAATTCTTGAAAAAGATGTATATGTGTATAGAAAGATCGGTGAAAAATGTTCCTGAATTTTGTTTTGTTTTCAATTTCCTCTAAAACAAGACTAACGTTGTTAACGCTGTCCATTCTTTATGAGCAATTTTGATCTTTTTAAAAACGAACATATTAAACGTGGTCTGCGATCCTATGAATATTTACATAGATTAAACTGAATTTATAAGGTTGTATAACATGTATAAAACATGTAACTTAGTTTTAAATTTCCCGAGACATGTTTATTTAATTGTTCGTTTGCGTGTGTTTTATTTTCTTCAGATAAACACTGATTTACCGATCGCGACAATACCAATTGCATTTTTGGAAGATCCGAAAAATATACTTTGGATGACAGCATTAGCCATACTTATACTCGCCTTTACTATTGGTGTGTGTATATTCTGTACAGATTTTTGTAAAACAAAAAGGTATTTAAGTTTAAATATGTATATTAATCACCCGCAGTCACTTCACATCTTTGAATAAAATCATTGGCTGATTGATTGTTGTTTTGGTAATATAAAGTTACAAATTATTCATGCATATTCATAGTGCAGGAAAGGTCGACTGGGGTGAAAGGGGGGAACTTTGGACAGCCATTGGACAATAATGGATCTTTAATAGGGGAAGACATTTTGTCTTACAAAAGTTCATCTACAGATACCTGAGAGAGTCGTTTAATGTGCAGAGAATATGACACTTACTCTACTAAAGCATAGGATTAACGTCCCCATTCTGACAGGATGGTGACACTTATCATACTAAAGCATCGGATTAACGTCCCCATTCTGACAGGATGGTGACACTTACCCTACTAAAGCATCGGATTAACGTCCCCATTCTGACAGGATGGTGACACTTACCCTACTAAAGCATCGGATTAACGTCTCCATTCTGACAGGATGCGGCTGCGTAATACATCTTGCACAATCAACGAATAAAATGAGACGTTTGATAAGCTTCAATGACACAATAGAGTTCAACATAAAATCTACCACGATAGACAGGTGTTGTTTCAGTCATATTAATTATGTCAACATACTGTCCAGATATGATCCAGGATTTTGAAAAGGAGGGGAGGGGGGGGGGGGGGTGGCGGGGGCCCCAAACTATAGAATGTTTAGAGTGGAACAGGTAAAAATGCTGCATTAACCATAAATGCACCCTACCCCCTAAATCCGCCTCTGCTGTCGTCCCCAAAAATAGGTGTCGTGTCAGGCTTATCAAATTTTGTCAACACACATTCGTCAACAATATACAGCTGTAGATTCAGTCTTATCAAATATGTCAACACACATTCGTCAACAATATACAGATGTAGATTCAGTCTTATCAAATATGTCAACACACATTCGTCAACAATATACAGCTGTAGATTCAGTCCTATTACATATGTCAACACACATTCGTCAACAATATACAGGTGTAGATTCAGTCCTATTACATATGTCAACACACATTCGTCAACAATATACAGCTGTAGATTCAGTCCTATTACATATGTCAACACACATTCGTCAACAATATACAGGTGTAGATTCAGTCTTATCAAATATGTCAACACACATTCGTCAACAATATACAGCTGTAGATTCAGTCTTATCAAATATGTCAACACACATTCGTCAACAATATACAGGTGTAGATTCAGTCTTATCAAATATGTCAACACACATTCGTCAACAATATACAGATGTAGATTCAGTCTTATCAAATATGTCAACACACATTCGTCAACAATATACAGATGTAGATTCAGTCTTATCAAATATGTCAACACACATTCGTCAACAATATACAGATGTAGATTCAGTCTTATCAAATATGTCAACACACATTCGTCAACAATATACAGATGTAGATTCAGTCTTATCAAATATGTCAACACACATTCGTCAACAATATACAGATGTAGATTCAGTCTTATCAAATATGTCAACACACATTCGTCAACAATATACAGCTGTAGATTCAGTCTTATCAAATATGTCAACACACATTCGTCAACAATATACAGATGTAGATTCAGTCTTATCAAATATGTCAACACACATTCGTCAACAATATACAGATGTAGATTCAGTCTTATCAAATATGTCAACACACATTCGTCAACAATATACAGATGTAGATTCAGTCTTATCAAATATGTCAACACACATTCGTCAACAATATACAGGTGTAGATTCAGTCTTATCAAATATGTCAACACACATTCGTCAACAATATACAGGTGTAGATTCAGTCTTATCAAATATGTCAACACACATTCGTCAACAATATACAGGTGTAGATTCAGTCCTATTACATATGTAAATTTTATGAATCCAAATACAGCACAGTGTTGCAGTAGTCTTTAAAAACTTCTCAAGGGGTGATCAAATTTGCAGTAAAAAGTAAGAAAGATACAAATGTCTAGTGTATATAAATATGGAGCTTGGGTAGTAATTAGACTGTAGTGCATGAAAATGTTACATTCTAGTATTTTGAATTTTAGAAACTACCGGCACTTTATTTAATTTTAATAATAAGCTCTCCCTTGCTCTTTTTTTTACATGAGTTAAATGAAGAACAGTTGAAACTCCTTAATTAATTGTTAAAAAGTTAAAAATTATAATAACATGTATTCGCCTAAAAGTGAATATCAAAATTATCAGAATGTTTTGAATTTGAAGAATCTAAATGTAAATAAAATAAATTAAATTCACCTTAGTTGCAAATAGTGATGTTGTCCAAAAGATTTCAGACAAAATGTATAAATTAAATGTGTTGCATATGTACTATTTCAGTGCTTTTATGCTGGCATGAATTATTTGTATTGTTGGCACTTGAGAATCTTGAAGAAAACAGTATTTCCCGCTCAATTCTAAGGATTTCGTGCAAAATTTTTCTGTGTTTAATATTTTATTGTCCTTTGTGTGTTAATTTATGTCGGTCGGTCTGCAACTTTATGCGTCTTTCAGATTTTAATTTTTTTTACTGCCTTATCGACTATATTAAATTTTCGGAATGTACACACATACTGGTGTATTTAATTAACATCGTATTGATTAAAATTTAATTATGTTACGATTCTTTGTATTAAATTTTAAAAATATGTTTAGGTTGCAAATGAATTGATGTTGGTTGGTAATATTTTGTAGAAGAAGACCACTTCCAGCGAAACGTCCAAAAACAGTAAAAATATTTAATAAAATTGCTGCAAAAGAAGCCCCAAAAAGAACAGCTGAACTAGGTATACAAGTCTTTCATTCATTCACTTACTTAAGTTGCTATTTTAAAATATTTAAAATATGCCCACGTCTTAAGTTTTCCAAAATTACGTCTAATGAAGGGATACTTCCTTTGCATTACTTGTAAAGAGTTTTCTTTATTCACAGTGGGTATTTTCTGTATTATTCCCATTTGACAACCACGCACTTTTCTTTTCTTTTTTTGTTTGCACAAAAGACTTGCATCTTTTGAAGTAAATGTCAAAATACTTGTATGTTTTTTTTTAATTTTATAGTAAAAACTTTTCGTGAAAATCACTTTAATAGATATGGAATACTTATAACATAGGATATTCTAAAAATGAAAAACATTGGAATATGACATTCAACAACTGTTCATTTTGGCTGGTAAAATATATTTTCATATTGGACACATTTTTCTTTCAGAGGACAGCACAACTGCATTTTCAGCTATGCCTCATCGTAAGCCCAGTGATTTGTGGAATTTTTGGTCTACTGATGGCTGGTCAATATCTTCCGGAGACTCACCAGATAATTCTGAAAATTTAACAACTAGTACTGAGAATACAAATTTGTCCTGGAACTTAATACAAAGTTCAAATACAGGAGATGCAACTCTGTATGTTTATTTATATGTTTCAATAATTACATCTGAAAAAACGACTAGGCAAGCATTACGAAAATCATTTTACTTTTTGTTGATTTTTTTTTTTTTTGTGAAAGGAAGGAACAGCAATCTTAAGTCAAACATATCCAGTCACTCAAAATAAATGCATTCGTCCGTCCTAAAGTTACATCCAGTTATTATGTTAATTAGAATATGTTTATGTATCTAAGTGTTGAAAGCCCGGTTGTCACTATCAAAGTTTTCTTTGACAAGGTAAACTAAGTCAAAGTCATCTGTTGTCACAATCAAAGTTTTTTCATCAAAAGCTTGGTAAAAAAAAAATTTAATCTGGTTAACTTGGTCCACGTCATCAGTTGTCAATATCAAAATTTTTCATCAAAAACATGGTCAAAGAAAAAAAACTGCACTGTGATTGGATAATTCTCGTCCAAGTCCATCCACGTTTCAAGAAAAATAGGATGAGATTTTATTTCAGCCAAGTCCGTCAAAGATGTTGATCAAAGTTTTCTTTGAAAGTTGTCACTATAAACAAATCCATCAAAAACTTTGACGAAGAAAACTTGTGCAAGAAAACTTTGATAGTGACAACGAGCCTTTATTATCTATTTTATTTGTAACATATATGAAGGAGACGTAGTAAGGTACTTGTATACGTCAATGAGACAAACATCTTCACGAAAACAAATACAATATTTCAAGATATAAACCGCCTTGAGTCTATATAAGGTCTAAAGAAATTAATCAGACTGTATGAGATCTACCATCAGCACCAACTTCCCAAAATTTCATAATAATATGATAATATATAACAAAATCTCAATCTCTGTCTTAAAATACAACGAACTATCTATGATGTTCCTGACTAGGGACAAGTATGTGAATATGTAGCGGGATTAAGCTAGCAATTGTTTGTTTTTTTTCATCTCAATCTTTCCCCTTCTTATCTAATTTAGTGAATAACACAATGTACTTAAAACAAACATTAAACGACACCCTAGCAAACATGGTAAGTAAAATCAGAGTAGGAAAAACACGTAATCAATCATGACGGTATAATGTTTATTACTAGGGATGGTGTTTAACGTCTTTGACTACCCATGCGTGTCGGGTATAATATATGACTAAGTTCTGCAACAACAAAACATTGCTTTTCCTTAAGATGCAATGACCAGTTACGATAAAAAGATTTCCGAGCAAATGTTCACATCAGATGTAAAGTGAAGGGAATTAATTTCATTTAACTACTTTATAAATCTTATCTTATGATTTCCGACCAGTTTCCAAGCTAAAGATTGAGATACTCCGTTACAGAAAAATGACCCAAAAGAATATAGGCATGTCGTTTCTCGTTTTTTATATAGATTAGACCGTTGGTTTTCCTGTTTGAATGGTTTTACACTAGTCATTTTGGGGCCCTTTAAAGCTTGCTGTTCGCTGTTGAAGGTCGTACTTTGACCTATAATTGTTAACTTTTTATGCATTGTGACTTGGATGGAGAGTTGTCTCATTGGCACTAATACCACATCTTCTTATTTATATGTGATGGTCTAATGATGTGTAATAGTTAAGATGATATTTTCTTATTTAGCTTGTAAATACTCGATCATAAAAAGAGATAAGTTGTTTTTATAGAACATACAAATGAAAAGATAAAAAGGAAACCATTAACTGCTAATCAGTTTATATATCTCAACTTGTACGATTCGCTCGTGTATGTAACAATGTTTTAGATTTTAACGAGAGAAATTTATGTATTACTGAAAAATTATTAAACCAGGGTTTTCGATATCACAAACTAGTCAAAACATTTACTAAATTTTATCATCGGTATAAGGACATCATTCGTAAATATAGCTCAGCATGCAGACTTCTTATACGTTCAGGTATTTCACATCCAATTTTTTATGGAAATATTCTTTATAAAGCACAAAAATGTCAGTATTCACCTCTGAAACTAACAAAACCTTTAAATAGACTTATTAAGAAGGGATATAGTTACGATACTGTTGTCAGGTCATTAAAGATTGCATATTTTGGCGTTAATATTGATTCACTTATAGGGTCTTTGCATCGGCACTAAACACATTTATTTAAAAACCAGTTGTTGGCATGACACGGGTTATGTTCTTCTCATATGTTATGATGGTATGATACTAAACCCCTAACGGGAAGGATTGTGCCTGATATTCATATGATGAAGACATAATCTTTCAATCAGTTTAATTGAAGTCTGGAGCTGGCATGTCAGTTAACTGCTAGTAGTCTGTTGTTATTTATGTATTATTGTCATTTTGTTTATTTTCTTTGGTTACATCTTCTGACATCAGACTCGGACTTCTCTTGAACTGAATTTTAATGTGCGTATTGTTATGCGTTTACTTTTCTACATTGGCTAGAGGTATAGGGGGAGGGTTGAGATCTCATAAACATGTTTAACCCCGCCGCATTTTTGCGCCTGTCCCAAGTCAGGAGCCTCTAGCCTTTGTTAGTCTTGTATTATTTTTAATTTTAGTTTCTTGTGTACAATTTGGAGTTTAGTATGGCGTTCATTATCACTGAACTAGTATATATATTTGTTTAGGGGCCAGCTGAAGGACGCCTCCGGGTGCGGGAATTTCTCGCTGCATTGAAGACCTGTTGGTGGCCTTCTGCTGTTGTCTGTTCTGTGGTCGGGTTGTTGTCTCTTTGACACATTCCCCATTTCCATTCTCAATTTTAAATCTTTGGAAAAGAATTATTTAAACATTTTTTGCTTATTGCATCCATTCCAACCTTATTTGGATGGCTATTACATAAGATGTGGTATAAATGCCAATGAGACAACTCCCCACCAGAGACCTACTGACATTGAGAAGTGAACAACTATAGGTCACCGTAAGGCCTTCAACAATGAGCAAAACACATATTGCATAGTCAGCTATAAAAAGCCCCGAAATGACAAATGTAAAACAATTCATACGAGAAAACTAACGGCATTCTAGTGCAGTAGAAACATGGACATGCATCTCTTGACACATGTTATATAATACATCACCAGTAGAATCACTATAAATATGCCTTCAGCTAATTAGTTCTCCAATTATCATCTGAACTGATATAAGTGATTACCAGTATAACGCCAGCTTAACGTTGACATTTGGAAACATAGTCGTCTCGGATCCATCATGTTTTTTTTTTATCTCACATAAAGCTATGGTATGCTATTTATTTCGTTGTTATTTTTGTTACATTTATTTTAAATTTACAGATTTCATTTCTGGAGGGATAACAATGAAGAAGGCTGCCTTTAGGAACTTTGCTTTTAATGTGTGGATTATTTACATAGAATGTCGTCTTAGTTTTTAATGTTGCATTTCATTTTTTTTCTTTTAAAACAGTGGCTTAGTTACCTTACTAACTGCTCTTGTATTGACATTCATAACGACGATATTCTTATTTTCATAGAATAGAAATATTAAATTCATTGTAGAATTTATCCATGTCAGTCAACTTTGATAATTGTGATAGAATTTATAAATAATGCCTCTCCTCAATCTTTACTACTGAATATGAAAAAAGCTTATTATAAATTATGTAATACATTGACCGCTCCCGACATGTGTAACTTCAAGGCATATTTTAGCGGCGATCGATGTCTTTCAAAATTACTGCACTTTTCTTGTATCCCTGGTGCTTTCGACTGGAGAACCGTCGTACACAAGCATCGCACAAGTTGGCACTCCGAGGCGGGTGGGGAGCAAGAAGGTGAACTGTGGTTTATTTTTATCAATAGTACCGCTTACGTCGACGCTATGGGCCGTCTTGACCTTGTTGTAGGGTATGAATTATTCGTTCATTGTTGAAGACCCTACATCAACTGTCAAGATGAAGAACAGGAATAAAAGTCCTGTTCATTGATAATTTTCTATGTTTTCTATGTATTGTGTGCGATTTTGTCCCATGTACATTTACTCCATATCCTTTCATTTTCTATTAATATCTTCATATTAAATTCACTTCATTGTCTAAATAAAGATTGTAGTTCGAAAGTTGAATTGATAACGTCACGTTTAAAGTCCATATCATGTGGTAAAAAAAACCTGAAACCCTGGTTTTCTCCTTATCAATGGATGTGTCACCGTCGGAGACAATGACTACTTGGAACCAACACCTAAATAATTGACAGAAAAGTCAAACAGTTCTGTTGGACATGTTTTGAGTTCTGTTTTTGTCCCTTCTGATTTGTCCTCTGTGTCACGCATTACAGTCTGCTTTGTCAATTATGCGGTTTAAACTGTAGGCCTTACCATGTTTTTCTGAAGTCGATTATATTGCATTTCAGCATATGGGAAACATGTATGGCACGTCTACCTTGACATCCGACGACTTTGTTTGCATTTGAAATCTCAGTCGTAATTCTATCGCACAAATGGCGTTGCTTAATGTAATTTTATAGACGTGGCGTTGTCACTACAGGTTAATCTGGCCATGGGTGGTCATTAACAAATCCCGTCTACCTGTACCGTTGTTGTTAGGACTATAAGAGGAGTTTCTGATGTAAAATTGTCTACCAACAGCACGTTGACGTATTCCTGTCCGCCTAAATGATTCTTATGGCCTGATTCGTATTTTCATTGCTCAGTCTCGGCAATATGGAAATGCAACATTATTTTATTGATACAAGTCAGGGTATGGATTCAAAAAAATGTTTCACGAAGAAAAAATAACTTTAAATAAATCATGCATGGGTTTTAAATCTCGCTTTTAGACATTCGTACGACGTCCGGTATGTTAATTAACTTAGGTTAGTCAGGTATGGGATTTTTCTAAAGAAAACAAAGTGCTGTAAGCACGAATAGCAATTATATGAAGAATAGGCATGATTTGGTAAAAAAAAAAAATCACCAAAATGTGTGTTGCCGTTTTAAGATCCGTCAGTATATTAAAAAGACGGTAGTCTTGATATGATTAACCGCATGAAAAGAGTATAGTTACTTTGGTGTCCAATCGCCAAATTAATGTCCGGAAATCGGGACGTAGTTTTACTTGCAGACTGTGTCATATATGTTTAGTTGATGAAATA